GCCAAACAGCTTCAGCCTTTGGCCAGCACCAGGATCTGGAGATAAAGGATTCCAGGAATCCTTCCAGGAATTGTTCTGTCAGGTTTGGTGTTGTTTCTCAGTAGTTTCTGTTGCTGAACTTCCAGATGCAGATGTGATGAGGCAAAAGGGGTTTCAGGCTGTAGTCCCTGCACAGAGGCCATAGGGAGTGACCCCGTGGGGGAATTCCCTCTCACTGCTATTGGACTTTGTCTGGGACATCAACATGAGTTTATTCTATCAATACTTCATTTTTTTTTCCCCAAAAAAGCTGCTTACAAGAGGGTTTTGTATCACTTTGATACTTAGTACAGATGAAATGGTTTATCTTGACAAGTTGTTAATCACCTTGCTGGAGATATGGCTGTGTTTGACCAAAAGTTCTAGGATATTTTCTTTGGTGTTATTTACAAGACACAGCTCAAATTGGATTTTTCTGTTTCATCTGACCTAAAAAAAAAAAATTACTTTCCATTTTTTAATCCTTCTTAGATCATAATTACAGTTGTAAAATGGGCTGTCATTCTCCCAAGCAGAGACTTAGTGGCTGAAGATGGAGCAGGGAGTGTGGTGCATGCCTGGCTTTGCAGTCATTTGGTGCTCCAAATATAGAGAGAGCACTGAGGGAAGCAGGAGAAAAATAGAAGTGATGCTGCTGTGTTTGTGCTACAGATAGAAATCAATAACATATTTTTGATGAAAGGTGGGAGCTGCAATTCATACTTGTAAAGGCAATGTGTCAAAAATCTATGTAGCATTAACAAAAGATGTTCATGAACTACTTGGATAAAAGTTATTTTCTTCCATTCATCTGTAAAATCCATTCTGCACCCTCAGCTGCAGCCCCTGACCCAGGCAGGCACACAGGAATTGCCAGCAGGGGAATGAGAAATATTGTGCAGAGCCAGCACCAAATGTCTGTGCCTTAGACCTCAAAGGGAAATGCAAAGTTCTCTGATCACATGTTTGATGACTGTTTCAGTAAATTACAAAAGTCACTGTCTCTGCCTGTGTATCAGGATGATTTGCCACTGGAAGCTGAAATTGTGCAACATTTCACTACAGCTGCTGCTACTAAAGAAAAAGCAGAATATGTAGTAAAGAATTTGCTTAGGGGTTACTAAATATTTCATTTAATAAATCTACCTTGTCTCATAACTGGAAACAGCAACGAGAATACTTTAATTATCATTTCCTCTACCTTTAATATTCAGGAAGATTTAGGCAGTGCTATGCATATGAATTTAAAACTTCATAGCACAAAGAGATTAAATCACTAACAAAAGTATGTGGATGCCTAAGTAATAAAAGGAGAATATCAAAGTACACAAAAAGTGAAACACTACAGAAACCATAAAATTAAAGAAAATTTGAACATTTTTTGTGTTCTCAGGCTTCAGGGGCTTTTCCACTCCCCAGAAGAGCTCCATTCTCTAGTATTACACCTCAAGAACAAAGTGTACATAATCTGAAAAATGTGCAGTGTTGGTGGTTGGATTTTTTGGGAAGAGTTAAGTTGAGGCAAGACTCCCAGGTTTTTACCTCACTCCATCCCCTTTCCTGGCATTCCTTTAGTGTTACTGATAGAACTGCTGACTAACTGCACCCATCACCATTCTCTGTTGAATTTTCCTGCAGAATTACATGCACATGACTCAGGAAGTGTTCATCTTAGGGCTAAGTATGAGCAGGTGGAAAGCAAGCAAGAGTCAAGCTTGCTTATGGTGAACTAGATGATGCCCTATGTAGTTGAAAGGAATAAACAGTGGCTGCCATTTATGTTTATATCAAGTAGTACAAGGTGCTCGAAAAGGCAGAGTTCAGTTTTAGAGAAATGCTCCATTTCCAGCTGGTTTGTTCTGTCACTGAAAGCTCTGCAGTGTCCCCTGGGTTTGCTCCCCTCCTGTGGGGCAGGATGGGGAGCAGGAGCTGAGTGCCTGGGCTGCCCTGGCCCCCACCCTGGGCAGGATTTTCAGTCCTTCTGGGCAGGTGGCAGCAGCTCTGTAACCAGGCAGCCCTTGGGTAATGCTATTACCAAAATGGGGGCAAACAAGGTTCCTTACAAAGGCACACTTTGCTAGGAAAAGCAGCTTTACAGAAAAGATAAAGTGTTTGTTTCTCTTGGGAGCGTGTGCCAGGAAGAGCCAGAGGGTCACACAGAGCTACCTTAGCACTCTGCAAGCTCCTGATTATACCATGGCAAGGTCCTGAAACAATCCTCAAAAATAAATCCTTGCAAGAGAGATCATAGGTACAACATTTGCCCTACAGTATTTCTGGAGTATTGTTTTTAAACTCTGATATTTGGGAATGTTGTAAAGCAAGTGTTGCTCTGGTTTGGGTGCTGTAGAGGGTGGGATGTTGGCAGCAGGAACAGCCAGAGCAATTCAGCCTCAGCTAACACTCACTGTGTGTCTCAGTAGAGGCATCTGAGGTGGCAGGATGTGTTTTAATCTGAGTTAAAAGAGAATTTTATATTTTGTCTATTAGTTTAATAAAAGAGACATTGATACCTCATAGTTTGACCTAAAGAAAGGATACAGATGTTTTAATGTGAGTTAAAAGAGAATTTTATATTTTGTGTATTAGTTTAATAAAAGAGACATTGATACCTCACAGTTTGACCTAAAGAAAGGATACAGATGCCACTGATTAAAGTGGTTGTTCCTGCTAACAAAGAAAATGACATTATGTTCTCTTGCAATGTATTCTACCTTTTATAACCTTCAGAGCAAAACAGCTACATACAGAAATCAGGAATTGTGTGGTTTACTCATCCCTCAGTATTTTATATTTCTCAAAGGGAAGGCAGAGGATACCTGAGAATATTGTCTGATAAGACAGCTTGGGTAATGTCTGTGGGTTTAGACTCTTTGTGGTTATCACCAAATTGCAAAAAGCAATTTCTAATCTTGACTGGAAAAACAAAAAAAAAAAAAATCCTGAGGAAAAAAGTGTGTTGTTTTCTGAGATGAAACAATTTCAGTCACCCTTGGAGGCTAAAAGTTAACATTTCCTTGTGCTGCTACAAATATTTCTCTATTTCCCCAAAGTGTACTAAATCAGTGTAACACTCTCAACTGACTTTGAACATTAGGACCAATAAAGTTGGATCCTACTTTATCAGGGTGTTTTGCCTCTGAATTCACATCTAAACCCACCAAATTTAACTATTAAGCTAGAATAAAGATAAAACTAATACTCAATGGATATAAATAAGTGGAGTTACTGAGCAAAGTTCCACATACAAATGCTTCATTCCACAGTATCCCTCACATCTACAACTCACCATTCATTGTTACATTCGTTTTTTAGAATCAGACATTTGTAGCTATGTTAACTTATAAATTAAACATTATTGACTTTGACTCCTATTATTTGTTATCTTCTATCCCTTCAGTGGATGTGTGCAGATTCAGACATAGGAGAGGATTTAGGTTATGGTGACCACAATAACTACAGTTTTACCCAAATATGTTGTTCCTTCCTGCATTAGCATTTTTTGCATTAAAAGGATATGGTTTCATAGAATGTTATCTACTGCTTGGTTTAAATAAATCACTTTACAAAAGAGAACAGAAGCATTTGTGAATGCATTTTCTAAATTAGAGAGGTTTTTAGCAAGGACACGTGAGCCCCCATGTTTCTCAGAGCCCCCATGTGGTGCAGACAGACTGAAGGGACAATCCCATTGCCTTGCCCATGATGATCTGTCCTGGCACTCTGCAGTGATTCATTTTCCATGCTGCTTTAGTCTGAAGCTGCCCAGGGGAGGAGGCTGCTGCCTGCACTCATTCAAAGACTGTGCCTGTCATGGGTATCATTTAAGAATTAATTGTTTGTGACATACATAGATTAAATAAATAGGACTGGATAGATTTTGAGTGTTGAACTGGGCTTAATTACTAGAAGGAAGAATGTAGGCTGACTTTTTCTCTTAGGAACTACACAGGATGGATGCAGGAAGTGTCCTTTAATGACAGATCAAAATTCTTCATCTCTCCATATCTGACTGCTCAAGCCAGTAGTGGCTGAAGCCTTTTACAAGGTAGACATCAATTCCCTGTTTAGTCCTCAGAGTGCCTTCAAAGAAGCTGATTTACAGGCCATGTGCTAATATTAATGTTAAACTATCCTCATGGAGCACAAACTGTCACCACTCCTCCCTCTGTAAATGTTTTACAGAGCATTGCTTCTCTTTGTCTCAGGGAGATGGGAAAGGCAAATTGTCAGTAAATGCTGACCAGAGGAACACTGTCATACACTGAAGGAATTTTATAAATCAGGTTTTCCTGAGCCCCCAGGACAGCACCAATATTCACACAGTATTGGTGCATTGATTATTGCAGTATTGATTATTATAGTAGTATTGATTATTATTGCAGTATTGATTATTATTGCAGTATTGATTACTGCACCTGACTCTTGACTTTGCCAGTCCTGGCTCGAGAAGTCCCCCAGCCTTTTTCCTGCAGGATGCTGCAAAGTTCCCAACTTGCTGACACTTCCAAAGCACTCTGCTGGGACAAGGAAGGCAGATTGAGAATGAGGGAGCCAGCTCAGTGTTCAAAAGCTTTGTTCATCCACAGGCAATGGGAATTGTTCTCAGGTAGAGCAGCTGGGGAATCATTCTTAGGGTGGAAAAAACTTAACTTTTCAGCTCCTTTTGCACATACAGTGTTAGGCTGAAGGACCCTTTTGCTGCTGCATTTTTCAGCAGGGAGAGAGGAGTGTGTTTTACACAATGGTTTTGATGGTATTTTTTCTTGCTGTATCTCATCCTTCCAGTTTATGGCAGGCAGTTGGGCAGCAACTTTCTATTCAAGCTCAATTCTTAGGTGATTATCCTAAGTGGTACAACACTATCCCCTCATTCTTTTCATGAGATATGCACTCATCATTAGAGATAAGTTTTGCTTCACAGAAATTACTCATACTATCAGAGAATGTCACAGTAATCCCAAACATGTCTGTTTTGTCAGACCACTGTGTCTTGGGATGGAGATAAGCTGCTCTGTGTGCAGAATGGAGAGAAGGAGGGCCGTGGTTGGACCCAGTGGATTGAAGGAGATGAAATGCACCTGGTAAGATCATGCAAGAGGTTTGGAATGCCCCTCCCTTCACATGGATAGATACAACACAGCAGGGAATGGGCTGTGTCATTTTGGCTTACTTGGACATAACTGGGTGTTGGTGCAGCATTTGAATTGTTTCTAAAGCAACAATTTCATTTGGAGCCATTATGTTTTTCTGTGCCTTTCAAAGCCTGACCACTTTGAATGCTCTTTCTGTGCTCAGTGTCTGTCCAGACTCACCAGGCTGAAATGTGCACAGGAGGAAGACATCTACCAGAATGTCCCTCACAGTCTGTAAAATGCTCAGTGTGGGAGCTGTGAGCACCCAAAAGCAAGGGAAAAATACACAATTGTTCTTTTAAAATAATTACAGGCCACACTACATTATAGCCTAGAGAACTGAAATGGCAATTAAGCTTTTGAAATTGATGGTTTTTTCAGATCGTCATTTTTATCTTTCTAAATTAACAGGACTTGAAAGAAGATGCCTGTTCTTTTGTCCTATAACTCTTTATAGCATCCTCACTCTGTCATCAGTGTGAGTAAAAGGCAGTGTTCCTGCTGGGATAATAAACTCCAACCTCCATTTCTCCTCCCTGTGCAGTGCTATTAGCATTCAGCAATCTAAATGGATGCATTCTAAATGTTCAAATCACTAGCAGAGTTATCAAATCCTTGCAGAAGCACCTCAAGCCCCTTGTTACTAAACATAATTTTGAGGAGGTATTGGTGGTTCCAGAATGCAGCTGAGGAGAGGAATGGGCATGACAGATCTCCCCACCTGGCCTTGGTGCAGCACAGGCAGGAGAAGGTTCCTGTGTGAGTGAGGACTTCACAGCTGAGGCTCAGAAACACGATCATGTCAATGAAATCAATTGTCCAGTGCATTGGCAATTTTAGCAAAAAGTCTTGGTTTAAGAAATACTGTCAAATGTCACAACTGTGTACAATATGCTGTCCTCTGGGCAAAATAAAACCAGAATATTTTTCTGCTTTAATTAATTTTTAGGAAAGAAATGTCCACATCAAACTAGGTCAAGATGACAAATCACTGTAAATAAAGCCTGCTATGTTGGTTCATCAAAACTGCAATAAGTTTTTGGTCTAATTGGGATTCCACAGCACCCAGTAAACCTGGCTGGGCAGTCCATGTTAACCTGTGGGAGCAGGGCACCAGAAAAAATTCAACATGCCTGGATTTTGGAAGCTGCAATAGTGCCTGCAGAATCAGCCAATTCAGTATTCTCCTTCCAGGGGAGAAGTGAAGTGTTCCCTCCTCACCTGGAGGAGGGGAGGCAGCAGTGAATGAGATGCCCAAATTTCCTGTGCAGGCTCACTCCCTCCAAGAAGCCCCTGTCAGTATTTCCACACTGAAACAGGAAAGCCTTATCAATATGATTGCCTGGCAAAAGATTTTGAGAATATGGAAACTATAAGTGAGATTGAAATTAAAGCAAGGTTTGAGATCCTTTAGTTACTGAACAATGAGAAAACAATGATGTGGCTGCTGAAGGTGATCCCCTTTTGATGGAACAATTCCCTCTGCTTGCAGGCAGGCCCAAGGGGCAGAGCAGACCCTGCCAGCTTGGCAGAAGGGGCCCAAAGAGGAGTTTGTAGGGTTTAAAGTGTAACACAGTATGGTAATGTAATGATTCTTATAGGCTGTATGGAAATGCTATAGGATTTGTATCTTCTATTAGATTGGTTAGTGAGAATCAGAATATTCAACACAGAAGATTTATTGTATTGTAACAGGAACTTTACTCTCTTACCCTTTTACTCTCTTTCCCTCTCATCCTCTCTCCCCCTCTCTTCTCTCAGTCCTGCTCTCAGCTGTGCCTGGCAGCTCCCAGCAGGGCCCTGCACCCAGGCCCTTTGCAATGAACCCCAAATCCCAAAAGGCCCCTGCACCCAGGCCCTTTGCAATGAACCCCCAGTTCCTGCCCTGGCTGCAGGGATCTCTGCTCTCTGTCCATCCCCACCCACACTGTTCCCCCCAGCTGCAGGCAGGCAGGGCCATGGCAGCTGCACAGCCCTGGGACAGCTCCAGCAGCTCTGCTGGGACAGCCCCAGCTCCCATCCAGTGCCTGCCCCAGTTCAGCTCACACTGGCTGCCCTCAGCCCTGCACACAGGAACCATGGCTCACATTGCTCTTGGATTTCTCTGCCTCTGCTAGCTCCCAGGCATTATCTCCTCCCATCTTCTGTCTCCAACAGCAGCTCCTTCAGCCCTGGTTTCTGTTCTCCTTATTCTGATTCCTGCTCTGGCCATACAGCCTGGCCCTGGCCCTCCATGCCCAGAGCACTTTCTGGACTTGTCCTTGTCTGGAGGTTGATTTTAGACGGCAGAAACTCAGATTCTGTTGCTCAAATACTTGTGTCTAGTGCCAGTTTGGGTAGCTCAGGGTAGCCTGACTGCTCTGATGCTGCTTTTCAGAAGGCTGGGAGGAATTCTGGATTATACCTGCCAGCTCATGCATTCACTCACTGGCACTTGGAGAATTTACCACAATCTGTCTCCCACGTGTGCAGAAGTCACTCCAAAATTAATTCATGCAAAAGAAGTAACCAAGTATTTTAGAGCCCACTCCCCAATCTTTCAATTTTCTCACTTCTGATATTTCATGGATTTCAAAAGATGTCCTCTCTTTCTCTAATCCTTGTTAATGCAGCTCTCTCCATCAAAAGTACAGTAGAGTCCCCTTTAGTATCTTATTTTTGACCAGCTAAGATTACTAGGTCCTGTCCTTTTGAGAGAGCTTTAATACAATGAGCAGTTACCTTTAAAGAATGGATACTTCAATACCTTTATGATCCTATTGAACTTTACACAATGAGCCAAGTGTTAATTTATTCTTTTCACAGTTCTGCAGAAAGCAGGACCACATCCTTCAGTAGTTTATCGCTTCCTATTCCCTTATTTCATTCTGTGGTCTGTACTTTGTAGTTCTTTTTTGGATTTTATTTTATGTGAGTGACTTATTTGACCATTCCCCATTTCCTTTTGAGTTTTATTGCCCTTTTCTATTGTATTGATTGCTTCTGCTCCATAGTTTTTGTCACTGTCAGCAAATCTCCCAGCCCTTATTGCACATTCCTTCTTCTGGGTTACCTCTGCAGGAGTGAAGAGAACAGGTCCCAGCCAAAGTCACTGCATCAGTCTCTTGTTCCACCAACCCAGCATGAAGAACTTTCTCTTACTGGGGTTGAGCAACATATGTTGTAGCCCCACATTTCCCTTCACAGAGAAAAGCAAGGCACAATTCTCCCCAAGAATATTGCTGGGTTTCACATTCTCTGAACCTCAGAGAAAGGAAAAACACAATTCTTATCATTTGCTGTGCCTGTGTTTGTGCCACAGCAGAATGCAATATGGAGATTGTTCACCCACAGTGATGGTTTTGGTTCCTTGGCCTGTCAGGCCCAGGTGTGTGTGTGTGTGTCAGGACTGTTGGGTGACAGTCACCAGATTCTGGGCAGTTCTGTGCAGTTGAGTGCTTGGCAGATTCAGTTTTAGATGTCTAGAATAATCCAGTAGAATAAAGTAATTAATTAGCCTTCTGATATCCATGGAGTCAGATGCATCATTCTCTCCCCTTCTTTGGGGTTCCCAGAGCAGCCATAATATGTCAATTAAGATTATTGACCTAGTTCAAGGGTTTTTTTAAGTCATTTAATCAAAGTCCCCCCTAAGAAATGTGCATAACTTCATCAAAATATTCTGGGAGCTTTATTAAAAGTCTCATCTTGAGCTGGAAAGTGTATCCCTTCTGCTGGGTCATGCATCAGCACTGTCTTTATGTCCCTTAAGAGCTTCCACACTGGTTTTCCTTGCACCTGAACCTTGTCCCAGGCCCACACCTGTGTGCACTCCCCAGGTGGAACCTGAGGAGTTTCAGGAATGGGGATGGGGGAGCAGGAAACAGCAGCAGCAGCCTCAAAACCCCAGCCCAGGATGGGAACTGTGCCCCTGCTCATGCCCAGCTCACAGAGATCACAGGGAGGGCTCCCAAAGCTCCTGGGCACTCAGAATCACCTTTTTGCATCCAGGGTGCTCAGGCAAACCCTCTGTGCTCTGCTGGTGGACAGGCCTGGAGCAAATCTTGTGTGCAGTCCCCTGCCTGTGGTAGCCAGAGCTCTGTGTGCTGAGGTGACCCTGATTTCTGACTGTGCAGCCTTCAGCCACCAGCTGTCACCACAGAGACTCAGAGGCAAATCCATCCCCACTGCTCTGTGTACCCAAACCAGAGAATGCCCCTCCCAAAGGTCCAAAGCATTCCATATTATTCACTGCAAATCAAGAATGATGCACCAGGAATGTATTTGGCCCTTTAAGATCTGAGATCCCAAAACAACTTCCCTTGCTCCACCTGTTAGCAGAAAACAAACCCGATCCAGATGTTTTCTTTTAGGGTGAAAAATAGGCTAAAATATGTACAAGCCTCCCAATTTAATTTAATAAAAAATCATGGATTCAAATTCAGCTGGATGTACACATGAATCCATAATGTTTGTGTCCTAAGTAAAAATTGTGGTTTTCTAATTATTTTCTCTTCCTAGGAAATAAGAGTGTGTGGAGTCACATGTAAGCAGGTCTTTAAGAAGGTGCAGTGAGCCTCTGCTGCTGCAGGACTGAAGAACAACAGAATTTACTGACTTGCCAGCAACTCTCCAAATGTTAGCACTGAGCATCCTCAGCAACCAGAGCAAACACAGAAATGAAGATCACATTAGAACCATAGAGTTGGAATAAAATATTTTTAGGAAATTGAAAAAAAAAATGACTGCAAATAAAGCTATTTTTAGAAATGCCAATTAAAGATACTAAACTCTCTAAATGTGTGCATACCATAATTCTTGATTCTGCCAAAAAAAGGGACTATTAGGTATAAAACAAAATGCTGGAGGTTTAGAGCTTGTAAGTTATTTTTTTACTCTCAGTAGATATCAGCCTTTCAGAGCCTCAGCCTTGTTAAATGGTGGACTGCAGTTTTAAGGAAGCAAATGAGAGCTGTAGGATGCAGCTTGCACTTAAATCCTGAATTTACTGAAGTCAGGAAGAGTGTTACCATTAGCTCTGGTGAAATAGATCTATACTGGAAGTGTTCCCTCAAAAAATAAAAATCTGATTTCTCAAAGCTAGTAAATTCATGGATCAAGATTTTGGAAAGAACAATGCTTACAAAAGCATGGCTAAGGGGCAATGCTTTTCCAAATGCTTTAGCCAATATCTGCCCATGCATTTTTTTAATTGTTGTTGTTCTGGAGACACTGAGAGTAAGGTCACAGCTAGAAACTGTCTGTAGCTGTACACACAGCACACAGAAGATGAGACCAGCATTGCTTTGTGCAGTATCATTTTATGCCCATCATAGTCCCAATGTTCTCGTGCAGACTGAGAGCCTTGGCCTGGCAGATGACATCAGAACACTGATTAAACCTTAGTGAGAGGAATAACACTGCCAGGCTTTCAGTCCATCAACACACTGGGTACAGGGAGCACCACCAGCTCACATCAAATTCTAAAAGGTTTAAATTCACAAGGTTTAGCAGGTAACCTGGAATTCCAGGTGTCTCCTGTCACAGCTGCTATCAGCCATTTCCAGGGACTCAGCCAGTGGGGAAATCACCACAGCAGAGCCTGCTCTGAACTGGGACCATCCATTTCCTGCTCTGAACTGGGACCATCCCTCTCCTGCTCTGAACTGGGACCATCCCTTTCCTGCTCTGCACTGGGACCATCCCTTTCCTGCTCTGCTCTGGGACCATCCCTCTCCCTGCTCTGCACTGGGACCATCCCTCTCCCTGCTCTGAACTGGGACCATCCCTCTCCTGCTCTGAACTGGGACCATCCCTCCCCTGCTGCTCTGCACTGGGACCATCCCTTTCCCTGCTCTGCACTGGGACCATCCCTTTCCTGCTCTGAACTGGGACCATCCCTTTCCATGCTGGTCTGAACTGGGACCATCCCTTTCTGTGTTCTGCACTGGGACCATCCCTTTCCTGCTCTGCTCTGGGACCATCCCTCTCCTGCTCTGAACTGGGACCATCCCTTTCCTGCTCTGAACTGGGACCATCCCTTCCCTGCTGCTCTGAACTGGGACCATCCCTCTCCTGCTCTGAACTGGGACCATCCCTTTCCCTGCTCTGAACTGGGACCATCCCTCTCCCTGCTCTGCTCTGGGACCATTCCTTCCCTGCTGCTCTGAACTCGGACTATCCTTTCCCTGTTCTGCTCTGGGATCATCCTTTCCCTGCTCTGCTCTTGGACCATCCCTCTCCCTGCTCTGCTGCAGCTCCTCTGCTCAGCCCTGCTTTTGCCTTGCCCAGGGGCTCAGTGCTGACTGGGACAGTTCAGGCCTGTAAATGGAACAGATGCTGCCATCCTCTCTAACCAGAGCCTGTTTTAAAGCAGGCACTGTTATTAATCCTGCTTTGGGAAGCTGGGAGCCTGGTCTGACATGGAATCCCAGACTCACAGAATGGCCAGGGATGGAAGGGCCCTCAGAGATCCAAGCTGCCTGCCCTGGGCAGGGACACAGCATGGAGAAAAGGAGGCTCAGAAACAGCCATTGGAGAGTCTCAAGTTAGCACAGCAGGGATGGCAAACTTTCTGAACTCTGTTATTTCATTGGTGTAGCACCAGATGTGCTCTAATGGACATCTAATTCCATTTTATAAAGTTTTGGGGTTTGCTTTACTTCAGAAAGTACCCAGAAGACATTACCCATGAAGACTTAAGCACCCCCATGTAATAAACAGGTTAATAATACTCCCTGTCCATGTAAATTCTTGTGCCACTCAGAATTGCAGACATGCAATCAAATTATTTATTTAAGTTCCCCTGTAATTATTTTTTCTTGGTAATGCTTATGGCTAAGGAGGGAAATATATTTGAGTCTGATCAGCCAGGTCCATGCAGAAGCTGCTTTTCTCTCCTGGAGGAGTGTGTTAGCCAGCCAGCTGTGTGTCCATAGCTAAATGGATATCCCAACAGACAGACAGACTGACCACCAGCTCATGGGGATTGAGTTTTCTTCTACTTGGAATGGGGCAGATCAAAACTGGTTACAATTAAATAAAGTAGAAAGGTTGTAAGAGAGGGAAAGGATCAGAAACCTGTGGATCTTGGGCTAAAATGCTGCTCTGCTGAAGGGAAATTGCAACTCCTTGCCTATTTAAAATGCTATTTATCATCTTACACAAGGCTGAGGATATCCCAGTTGCCAAATTTCAGCACATCAGTCATTTGTTTTTCTTGGAAGATTATTGGACACAGAAACTTTTTTCCTTAAAGTTTCTAATTATTGATTTCATAATCATGGACACCCTCCAAGTACCTTTCCACTCTTCAGCCCCAAGGAGAGCAAGAGAATAAACAAGTAACTGTAATAAAGTGATGGCTCACACCTCCATCCCCAGATAAACTTGGCAGGATTTTTTTTAATGCTCAGCACTTACAAAGACCTTTTTGGAAATGTAGTTTTCCTTCAACAGAACTTGGCAGTTCATAACCCTTAATTCACCAGCTGTCTTCTAATTTTTGCCTGCAGTCCTCTCCAGTCTTGTGTAACATTCACAAACTCTTTTTGCAGAAGGTTGTAAGTGGATCAATTAACATCTAGCTAAGTAAATCCAATTGTTAAAAGCTATTATTATTGCAGTCAAACAGACAGCTTTTCCCCTTTGGGTCATTTGGTGCAAGGGCAAATTTAGCACCATACTAATAACTAATGGCTTATCAAGCAGAAGCAATGTAAGCTGCTGCTAATTATGGAGGAAAGGCAAGCCCACAAAGCACTTCCACAGCTCATGGATGGAAACTACAGAAACTTCAGAAATGTTTAACTTTCAATAGATTCTCTTCAAACAATCTCAATTGCTTGTCATTATAATTGTAACCTCTTCTCTCACTGCAGCAACCCTTTCCCTTGGAAAAGGAAATGTTCATCCATTGCTTCCAAGACAATGCTTTCCAATTAATGTGTGTAAAAATTAACCATGCTGTTTCCATGAACCTTTAACAACTGTTATCATGAAATGTAATTTAAAACTTCCTCCATAAAATAGATACTTACTGATTATATAGCATTCAACAATTATTTGACAAACATCTGCCTCCCTGACTATTTCATAACTACTTAATAACCAAACCTTCACAGGGAATTCATATCCAGGTTTGCTTGTGATTCAAGAATCAAACTTCATATTGATTTTCTTGATCTTCAACAGAATTTCAGCCATGGTTTGCCAATATCCACTCTGTATTTCTACAATACCTTCAGATAATGGACATCTTATGTTTTGTTAGGAAAGCCCAGTGCCTGCAGGAGCAGCGTGAATGGAAAGTGTAAACAAAGCAGACTTTTCCCATTGTTGACAAAACACTTTTTCTTAAGGTGAACCTGCATCCTGCAGGGCCATTGCAGTGTAATTCCTCCCACCAAACAGCCATTCTCTGTTTTGTCCATGCCACTCAGGTTTTCTTTACCCCTTCCAGGGTATAAACTTGGCTGGTCCCATCTCTTACAAGCTGAGCCACGGAAACCAGAACTGAAAGGAGAATTGGGGTTCCAGTCTACATTTGTGCAACAGTCCAGCTCTGAAGGCTGGGGAGGAGCCCCTTGGGATGATCTGTGTCACACTTTGATTGTAAAATAAAATAAACAAGGGCTGAATGGCAAATTCCCCACATCAGAGTCCCAGAGTGTCCCATGGGGCTGAGCTCTGGGGCACAGCAGAGCCCTGGTGTGGCACAGATGTGCTCCTCTGGGTACATCCACTTCCAGCAATGCCTGTCATTGGCTTGGCTCTCCTCTAGGAAATTCGACAGTAAAAAGCAAGAGTTCACCACTGCAACATTAATAAAACTTCCTAGAATGTATCATTTTGTATTATATTCTCATTTGGACAGCCTCATCTGTAACCACAGAACAGATTCCCAGCTTTTCATCCTTTCACCCTCTAATTTGTCTTGGATTATTACCTAGGTGGTGCAGCTATTTCTAGTTTAAGAAGTTTTTTTCACCTCAAAGCAAATGTTTATTTAAATAATTTGCTCCTGTCTAGCAAAAGTGCACACAAAAGTAGAGTCCCTTCAGTACCATGTATTTTATTACCAGGGCAAGCTTTTTCTCTTTATTAGTAGCTAATAATAAGAATCCACACTGAACAATTAAACAAAATAGTATTTCAGTTTTTCACCACACCCTTCAATAAGACTGCCTGGCAATTAAGTTTCTGCACCATGGAGGCAAAATAAAATCCCCCCTTTCAATGGCAACATTCTTATTAAAGGAAGGGAGGAAAGAAGGATAGGAAACAGGCTGTGATTATTGACTCTACACTTATTTACATAACAAGAGACCATTTGTCTTGTGCTACACCCCGATCCTAGTGCTGAGCAAATAAAAGTCAATATTGTGACAAGAGCACTCCAAATCTAAAATATTTGATTTAAATGTGCAGCTATTTGGCATTTCCAGATTGGAGCAGAAGCCTGAGCAGTTATTTATGTGTCCATCAGCATTACAGAGCAGCTAACATTTAAAACTTGTGTGTGCAAGTGCAGAACAGGTGGTTACACAGCCCATGGGCATCAGCAGCACACTGCAAGGATAAGCTCTCCTTTAAATGCTCTTAGCCTCACTCCCAGAGCTTCCTTGTGCCTGTTTGTTGTGCCTCTCCTTCCCCTCCCTTTCCAGCTACAAAAGGCAAC